CAGCTTCCAACAACCGGCACAAAGACTGGCTTAGATTGCATTCCGGGGCAGGCCTTGCATCAGCTTCAATCTCCACCAAAAGTCCCAAACAGAACTTTGACAGGGACAGAAAAACCATATGCCTACCTGTCCAGTCATACCTCACAGATTGTTGTCAAGATTAAATGAGATAATGTATATAAAGTACTTTACAAACTTTAAAACAACACAAGTTATCATTATTTTTTTCATCTTATGCTTATTTTCTATGAAATTCAAATAGAAACTGTCCTAGAACAAGTTACTTTCCTACTATTGTTCTTTTAGGTTTGACATTTAATAAACTATTGCAGGGCGGTAGATAATACAACTGATTTTTGTAATTGAATGAAAGTTTTGTGGTGGAAACTTACCTTCTACAGACTCACATAAAGCATCTTAAAATAATACCAGTGGTGGACAGGGGTGACAGGGATGATATATACTTCTTCATGTTCTCATACAATGTTAATTTGTTTCATTGTCTGAATATTTTGAAAGCTTTTTGTTCCATGTAGTTTAGAGATTGAGTGCTCAGTACAGCAACAATGACTAAGATTTTTATTTGTAATGATAGTTCATTTCATACAATTTATCTGTTAATTTTGAAGGATATTTTGGGTGTTTTATGTAGTTTATGAAGAATAGCAAGCTGCTAGCATATGATTCTGCCTTCTTGGTTGTTTCAATTCTAGGCCATAGGTTCATAAGATCATAGATTTAGACCACAGATCTAAATCATAGATTTAAAGTTAAAAGGGACCTCAAAGGCTATCTATTCTAACATCTTGTAAGTACTAGTGTATCTGTGAGGAGTTATTTGTATGAGGAAAAAGCTTATGTTGTACAACTACAAAAAGTGAGGAGTAGTTTCTTACCCCTTCCCCTATAATTCCCACTTTTGGAATATGTATATAACTAATATCTTCCGGCTACCTCCTTCACCTCCCAGGAGTATGAAATGCTCTCTAGTCCAGCACTTCTTAAACTGTGGGTTGTGACCCCATATGGGGTCACATAACTGAATGTAGTAGTGGTGAAAATTTTGGCAACAATAAAAGGTTTCTGAACGCACAGCCAAAAATTAATTCAAAATCAGTTAATCCAAGGTGTTTGTGGGAGCGCTTGCCCGTGTTGCATCACACAATTTCACTGCAACCTTGGTTCTGAACACACAACATATGCACTTTCCGCTGTGATTGCCGTCATGCCATGCAACACCAATGAAACACCTCAGTTCAGATTCAAGACCGTTGTATGATACGGATTGCAGTGTTTTTCTGTACATATGAAGTCTTCTGCTCTTACAGAAACATAAGTTTAATTATGGAAAATAGAGACTTCTAATATTTTCCTACCATCATTCCTCAGCATGTAAGTAACTATCAAATGAGTATATCTTTGGACTGTACTGTGTTAGAATGTTTGATTTTTTTAAATTGCTGTTATCTCCTTCTTTTACAGAAACATAAATGTTTAATTGAAGCAAGTAAAGACAAAAGGCCTTTAATAATATTTCTCTACCATCACCACTGTATGTGTATGTAAGTATAAGCATGAATTTTTAAAATTAAACATTAACAAATGTAATGTCATAAACTAAAGACAGTATTTATTTGAGAAATTATTAGCAACATTTATTCACATTTTAGGACAAAATTTTTTTGTTATGGCTAAATTTAGACAGAACAGGTAAAAATACTAGTGACAACGTGGCAGTCTTCACCACCAGTAGTAGTATACCTAAATTGATAAGAAAAAAAATATGTTGAATCATTTTTGCAATATGGATTTACTTCTAAAAATGATGATGGTGCAGAAAAACCTTTCACTCAATTTGTAATGAAGTTTTGCCTGCGGAGAACATGAAACCAGACAAACTAAAATGACATCTTAACACCAACCATGCATCATACTGTAATAAACCAAAGTAATATTTTAAACAACTTTTAAGATCTTCAAATAAAGAAAAACAATATTTTGAGAAATTTGTTATTCTCAACGAAAAGTATTTACTTGCATCTTATGAAACTTCTCATTTAACTGCAAAAACTAAAAAGCTCTACATGATAGGAGATCTCATGTTACCTACTGCTAGTAAAATGTCAGAAATAGTTCATCGGAAAAATTACAGGGACCGAAATTCATAAAATTCCTTTACCAAATGATACTGTTTCCAAAAGAATTTCTGATATTAGTAATGACAAATTCCCACAGCTCATTATCAAGCATAAGGGCAGCCCAAAGTTTGCAATTCAGTTAGATTAAACAACTGATATTTCTAACATGGCATAGTTGTTAATTTATGTAAGACGTGTTTATAAAGGAAGCATGCATGAGGAATTATAGTTCTGTCACTCTTTGGAAGGGCACGCAAGAAGGGAAAATATACACATTAAAGTCAATGAATTTTTCACAAATGAAAGTTTACAGTGGAAAAATTGCATTGGAATCTATATAGACAGTGCTGCAGCAATGATGGATGAGGACGCCGAATTTATAGCAAAAGTTGAAAATGGCAGCAATGAACATGTCATTTTTACTCACCATACATCCATCAGGAGACACTCGGCCAAAAAAAAATATCACCAGAGTTAAATGTTGTGCTTCATGATACTATCAAAATTATTAACTTCATTAAAAGTCTTGCCCTTAACATTAGTTTTCAAATCTTTAGAAAGACTTGGATTCTGATTACAAAAAGTTATTACTCCATGCAGAGGTGAGGTGGCTCTCAAGAGAGTAAAGTTTAAACAGATTATTGAAATTGAAATATGAAGTTGTTATATTCTTGACTGAGCAGAAATCCAATTTTGTTAATAATGACTTATGACTTTCAAAACTATGTTATTTGTTGGATATTTTCAAAAAACTCAATGATCTAAACATGTTGCTTCAAGGAAAAAATTGTAACATATTTATGTTAAAAGATAAAATTGAAAGTTTTACTTAAAAAGTTAACATATGGAAGAATAGAGTGGAAAATGGTTCTTTAGAAAGTTTACAGGTACAGATGATTTTATAATTGAAAATAACCTTTATACTTAGTTTTTCCCAATCAAAAAAAAAAGAGCTGCCATAAATATTTTTTTTTTACATGTGGGTCCTTTTCCTTTTTTTAATGATCTCTTTGGGATACAGACTTAGTAGTGGTATTACTGGATCAAAAGGGTATGCACAGTTTTATGGCCCTTCGGGCATAGCTCCAAATTGCTTTCCAGAATGGTTGGATCAGTTCACAATTCCACCAACAATGCATTAGTGGGACTCAAAACTGAAAAAAAAAAAACCCAAGAATGTTAAAAATTGTTTTTACATGTAATTGGAGGAAAATAAAATATTACAAAAAGAAAAAAAGAAAAGAACCTTCCCAAAGATTTAATTGAAAGAGTTATAATTGATCATCTGGAGTGCCTACACAGTTTCAGAAATACTTCCTTTCAAATTTTGATTCCAAAAAACTAATTTGGGTTCATAAACCACACTCAATTGAAACCAAAAATGTCAGTCATTTGCCATTAAAAGTTCAAGAAGAATTTGCCGAGTGATCAAGCAACACAAGTTTAAAACCTGAGTTCCCTAAAAAATCACTAAATGAATTTTGGCTTGGGATTAGAACAGAATTTCCAACAATTTCTGAAACGGCCCTAAACACACTTCTGTCATTTTTTACTATGTATTTATGCAAAGCAGCACTCTCAGCATTGATGATTATAAAATCAAAATAGTGATCAACTCTGAAAAATGTTGAACATGTCCTATATCCTGCAGTATCAAATATTCTGTCAAGATTTAATTCTTTATGTAAAAGTAAACAAGCACATTCATCTCATTAGTATGCAAATTTGCTTTCATTTAAATATGAAATGTATGGTAAAAATTATGTATACAAAGAATTATTTTAAAATTAATTTCTTTATGATTTATTATCAGCAAATGTTTGATTTGTATACCTGTTTTATATACCTAAATACCTAGGGTCACATAAAAATTTCTTGGGCAAAAAGGGGTCAGGAGTGGAAAAAGTTTAAGAAGTTCTGCTCTGGTCACTGCCATTGCCCCTATGCCTCAGGGAGAAATCATTGTGAGGAATTAGATCCAGTGACTCGCGGTCTGCCACCATATACCTGAATGCAGTCAACACAGCTACTCTCATGGTTGAAGAATCTGCTAAGCTTACCCTTGGGTCATTCTACCACCCATTCAGTTACCAGCTCTACTCCAAGTACATAGGACTCAACAACTATTCACTAGGAGGCATGCGCAGGTTCTCCTAACCAATACATTTGACTTTCTAGATGTAACACCCTTAATCTTGCAACACTTCTTCCCTTTCCAGTAGATGAGGATCCCCATACTCATTTTCATGACTGCTTATCAACTCTTTGCCTATCTTCAAAGCCCTGAGAGGATCTTAACAAACCATGACATGATTCTGTTCTGTGATGGATCATGCAGACAGTTGGATTCAGAACTTGTTGCCTCCTATGCAAGAGTCACTCAACATGAAAGCCCTTGAAGTAAATATTCTCCCTACCCAAAAGTCTGCACAGGAGGCCAAATGCATAACCCGCCTGAGGGTGCCAATTAGCAAAGAATATATGGATGAACATTTATATTTATTCCTTGTGTACTTGGCCAAATCTGGAAAAACTTCACTTTCTCAGGAATCTCCATTTCCCATGAGTCCCTTATTGCTACTTTCCTCAAAGCATTCATCATCCCTTCTAGATTACTGCCATTGACAGCCATTGATCCAATTTCCCTGAGCAACTCCCATGTTGATTATCACCTAGGTGCCATGGATCTCTAGCCACAGAACAGTCAGGAAGACTTGAGTTCAGATATGACCTGATATGTTTATTAGCTGTGACTCTGGACAAGTCACCTAACCTCTGTCTATCCCAGTTTCCTCTACTATAAAAGGGGATAATAATACCACCTACCTCCCAAGATTATTTGATTGAGGATCAAATGTGATAATATTTGTAAAGTGCTGAACATAGTGCCTGGCACATACTAGGTGTTTAATAAATGTTTGGTTGCTTCTTCTCAAAGTGAAGGACTCAACCTCTGATGCTTTCCCTCTCTCTCTTTCACTTGATCTCATTGTCCCCAGCAGGTTGTACTTTCCTCTGAAAAAAAAATGTGGTAAACTTCTGTAGGCTGCTCCATCAGCCCCTCAGATCTTGTGATCAGGCCAAATATTTGCTTTTTTGGCTTTCATTCATGATCAATCAATTGGGCAACATGTGCAAGTGGGGAATAGCAATGAGACTAACAAAAGAACATTGTCACCCAGGGATTCATCAAATAATTGTCTTCATCACACACACACACACACACACACACACACACACACACAAACATGCGCTAACTATAAACAGTTCAATTCAGGAAGAGATAACAAAGTCCAAAACAGCAGCTTGTATAGATGTCACTTCCCATTTCATGCACTACAAATAAACTTTATAGAACCCCCATTCTCTCTAAGATTAAAGTACTGTCTAGTGGTGATCTGTAGTTAAAATGTTTACCTACATGAGAATAATTCCCTGACCATGGCAAAGAAATTCCTCACATAAAAGATCTCTAGATTTGACTTCCCACTATGGATAGAGTCAGACCAAGGAAGCCACTTTACCTCTGATGTTAATCAGCAGCAGGTAAAAGTTCTTGGGTTCTTTCTGCAGTTCTATAGGCCTTGTGATCCCTAATCTTTAGGGAAAGGAGAAAGAACCTAAATATGAAGCAGACTCTAGGGAAGCTAGACATAGGGACTGAGGACTTAGATGGCTTTAAGCTCTATTCCTAAAAGTAATAAAATTTAGAAATGCCTCCAAAGAGAAAATATGGTCTTTCCCCATACAAGATAGTGTTCAGATAATCCAAGTCAATGGGAACCCGGACACCAGTAATAGAAGAATTCTGTGAACAATATGACTTTATCTTGCACTGTCACTTTATTAATTAAGTACTCTCTAGCCTCCACAGGGAAATCAAAGAAGCATAGGCTAAACCAAACAATCTTCCCTATCACTGCAACGAATCAGGGATATTAGTTCTACATAAGAGTACATTGCCTGAAATCAACTCTGTCACCCGAGTGGTGGGCCCTTTCAAGTCCTATAGCCCACTCAGACTGACATAAAAGCCAAAGGAATATCCATCCAGATCCATGCCAGCGCCATTGACATTGTAATGAAGCAGCACTGGGAGAACTAGCCTACTGAAGACCTCAAGCTTCATGTTCCCACTAGGAAAAATGCATTCTTCATAGATATAGATAGCATCAGTGATGCAGATAGCTTTTTTAGGACCACTGATGATTGAGTTGGAAAAAGGCACTTTTTATCCTTTTTTTCCTTATTTTTTATCCTGTTTATCTTCTATTGGATTTTTCACTCATTTTTAGTATCACATATACTTTATCACATGCCATTGCAGCCTTTCTTATACCTAAACCACCTAAACTCAGTAAGCCATAATATCTTTATGGTCATTCTGAATATTCCCTCAACAGCTTGCTTTCTTGTCTTATTGTCACTTAACCTAGTTCTGAAACTAATAATGTGTCAGAAGAATTTTTCTCAAAATGAGATTCTAGAGATTCCTCCTCAAAATGATGTCTCCCATGCCAATATTGATGACAAAGCCTCAAAGCTTAATCAGGCAAATATAGCAGTGATTTTTCTTTTTAAATTTTTAATTGTATGTTTCATGACATCACAAGAATACAGCTAATAACTCTTCTTGGGACCAGAAGGAATATGCCCCAAAACTCCTAGTCTCCTATGTAAATACTCTATGAGTTGAGAATTTTACAGAAGTTCAGTAAAAGAGTTAATCTATCACCAGCAAGTCTAAAACATTGATGTGCAAGTCTAGCTAGCTGACATCCAGAAAGGTAGACCCAACCCAATCTTCCCCACACTAGATGAAGAAGTACTGATATCACATGAACTATATTAGGCCCTACCTTCTTCCCCTTCTACTACATACCCATGCTTTTGGTATTTGGGGCTAGTTTGAGCACCGGTAAACAGACACATTTGTCTTCAAGCATTGACTTAATATAAACATTTGTTGGGAATATAATAGAAGGGTTTCCATGGAGTTTGAGTTAGAGACAATGACCTCTGAGGTTTCTTTTAACTGTGATATGCTGTGGTTTTCTGAAATTGTTCTGTCTTTGGTTGGTGCTTAAGAAACTTTTAAATGATTTTTAAATTTCAAAGATCATGTCTGCATTGAGGTAAAGACATCAACTCAGAAAGTAGTACATGTAGGTGCACTATACTTGCAACAGCCTTTACAGGGTTGTTACTCATTCTCTTTATGACTAAGTTAGGTAACTAACATTTTTTCTGGAGAAAAATCCAGATGAAAATCTGCCAGATTTCAGTGGATTTAATTCAATTCAATTCAATATTCAAAGGATCTGAGTATCGTATCTTAAGAGCAACTGAACAGGTGAGTTTCAAGCCACTTGATTTCTACTTTCTGTGGGAAAATTATGTGCAAAAATCTATGCTAAAATTGCTAGTCATGGCTTTGTTCAACTTCAACTTCAAAATATCTAAATATTGGAGAAATCACTACTGCCTAAAGTAATCTATTTTCATTTTTTCACAGTTCTAATTGCAAGGAAGTTTTTCCTCATACCAAACTAAAATCTGCTTCTCTGTAACTTCTACCTATTATTCCTACTTATTCTACCTGGGATCAAACCAAGCAAATCTAATCCTTCATCCACATAACAGTCCTTCAAAAACATGAAGGTACCTACCATTCACCCCTAATTCTTCTCTTCTTCAGGTTAAACATTCCTTTATATGGCTTGATTGTTATTCTTTTTACTATTCTGGCTTTCCTCCTCTGGATATACTTCCATTTTCCAAATGTGCCTAGAACAGGATACAATATTTTAGCTTTAATCTGATTAAAACAGAGTGCAGCAAAAAAGTGTTTGAAAGAGAGTAGGATTTGGGTGAAATGATGATGAGTTTTGTTTGAGACATGTTAAATTTGAGATATCTCTAGCACATCCAGTCTGAAATGTCAAATAGACAATTGGTTGTATAAGACTAAAGCTCAAGGAAGAGACTAGGGTTAGATCTACGTAAGTCATCTATATAATTTACTATGAGAGGTGATGTGATGACTTAGAGAGAATGTAATTAGAGATCTAAGGAGCACTTCGGACAGATGCTTAAAGATCTTCAGGAGTTTAGGAGTGTGATATGATTGCTGAACCAGTAAAGGGGATTAAGCAAGGAAATCAAACAAGTAGGAGGGAAAATAGGAGGTAACAGTTATCACCAAAAGCCACATATAAGCCTTGTATTTCATCTACCATTTTCCAGTGAGGCAGCTGGACCAAGCTGTTCAAATCACCTTATGGCTAATTCATAACAGATCTACAAAAAATGGAGAAGAGAGGTGTAGTAGAACTTGTTCTCACAGGCTTCTGCCCAGAAGTAAGTTTGTGTTCCCACTAAATATAAAAAGATTCCTTGTTTGCCACTTACTCCTCTAGAATTGTGTGGAAAATTCTTTCCAGGGGCAGCAAGGTGGCGCAGTGGATGGAGCACTGGCTCTGGAGGAAGAAGGACCTGAGTTCAAATCCTGCCTCAGACACATAACCCTCAGTAGCTGTGTGACTCTGGGCAAGTCACTTAACCCCAACTGCTTCAGAAAAAAAAAATTCTTTCCAGAAAGGAAAGAGTGCCCTGACCCAGAAACTGAGTCTCTTTTCTCAAGTACTAAAGCTAAAGGTAACTGAAAACTATGCTAACTTGCATTTCAAATGGGAAAGAATTGGAATTTATCTGAGTGGAAAGAGCTGCCATAAATTTAAAATGTTGTTCAAAAGCATTGTTTAGGGGTCATACTAACACCCCTAGAAAACGATTTCTTTTGAAACTCCAATTTATAAAATGTTGAGTTAGTGAATTCTATTCCTAGAACTTCCCTTAATTGCTCTTAAAAAGTAATAAGGCTAAAGCTAAATGAAATTAGACAGCTCTATTAAGGGATATAGGTGTATATTACAAGCAAAACCCAGCAGAAAAAGATAGAAAGAGAAATTCCATATAAATTCTACATAAAATGCTGGGGAGTATACCTGCCAATAATTATATATAAACTACTGTGAACACAATTGCAAAACATTCTTCACACAAAGATACATCTAAATCAATGCTTCTTAAACTGGGGTCACAAGTGGAAGAAGTTTAAGAAGCCCTGATCTAAATAACTTGAGAAATATTAATTGCTTATGGGTAAGACTAGCCAATACAATTAAAATGACAATAATACTTAAATTAATTTACTTATTTAGTGCCATACCAATCAATTTATCAAAGAATTACTTTATAGAGCTAAAAAAAAATCATAACAAAATTCATCTGGAGTAATAAATGATCAAGAAAATCAATGAAAAAATGGGAAGGAAGGGAGTCTAGCAGTACTAAATGTCAAATTATACTATGAAGCTGTAATAGAACAATTTGGCAAAATGGATAAGAAGCAAAATAGTTGATCAGTGTCATAGATTAGGTACACAATAGATAGAAACAAATAAGCACTGTAACCTAGGGTTCAATAAACCTCACATTATATACCAAGATAAGCTTAAAATGACATAAAGAGTAATTTCATAAACAAATTGTGTGTGGTTTGTCCTTTGTTCTCAAAGAGGACCATGACATCAGGAAGATAATGCCATGACTTGCAATTGAATTGGATTTAAGTGAGGGAGGGCTGGGCAAAGTCACCAGCCTCACTTTCTCCTCTGGAGCAATTGGTCAAGACAATTGGAGATGGCCCACAATGCAATGGGAGACCTCGACCTTTTAAGCTAAGGTCTTTCCAAGTTCTCACTTTGACTGAGGCAATGTCCATTCAGTGATTAGAGATGTTTTAGAAATAAGCCAAGAGATAGCCCTTTTAACCCAAAAAGAAAAAAATCCGAACTGGTAGGGGAAGACCCTCAGGGTTTCTGACCAAAAGAAAACGATTACTATTTACATTCACTGTGAGCCATCAGGGCCCAAATAATAACCATTAAGTGGTACTTGAGTGAGGACCTGTATCCATGAGGCCAATCCATGAGAACCAAAGTGAATTGGGTTTAAGGCATGGTCTTTAAGAAAGAAACTTAGCCAGTAAACCCCAAGATATCTAGATAGATTTCAGCTTTCAAAATACACCCTCCTTTAGGTAGATCACCCTCAGGCAAGGTCTTGATACCTCATGCGGCAGAGTAAGAAAGAAATTATCTGTCAGATCTATGGATTATCACCTTTTAGCTTTAGGACTTGAGAAAAGAGACTCAATTTCTAGATCAGGACACTCTCCTTTCTGGAAAGAAATTTTTCACACAATTAATGAATTGTTGGTGGAGTTGTGAATTAGTCTAATGATCCTGGAAAGCAATTTGGAACTACACCCAAAAAATTTTTAATTTTGCATGTTTTTTGACCCATCAAAAGTACTACTAAATCTATACTCCAAGGAGATTAAACAAAGAGGAAAAGAATCCATATGTACAAAAATATTTATAGTAGCTTTTTGGGGAGGCAAAGAATTGCAAAGTAAGGGAATGCACATTAATTGGGGAATGGCTGAGCAAGCTATGGTATATGACTGTGAAGGAATACTATTGTGCTCTAAGAAATGATGAAGGAGATGGTTTCAGAGAAACTTAGGGAGACATACACCAAACATAGATCAGCAACTCTTCTGTAACTTTTAGTCTTAAAAATTAATTAGTGTTATCAAAAATAACAGCATTATAAAGTATGAATTCATCATGGTAAGCAAAAATTTGCCCTCCAACTACAATGGGAAAGTTGTACACAACTATTTCTTACGTACCTTAGGAGGAGGATAGGTAACCAATGCCAAAATGACAAGACAAATAGCTCTCAGATATGGCTTGTGTCCCAAGTCCAATGTTGTTCTCCACCCTCCTCCACCCCAACCCCCAACATTTTACCATTGTATCATTCATCCTTACCTGATGTATTGAGAAACAAGAAAAGGAAGCAATTTTAAAGTGAGTCAAATTAAAATTTGTGAGAAAAATGTTTGTGATAAGAAAGAAGTTCAAATTATCAGTTAAAAAAAGATGATTAGGTTAATAGTTTATTTCAATTTATTTATCATTATAATAATGGATATTTATGGAGTACTATAAAGTTTGCAAAACATTTTATATACATTATACTATTTGATCATCTAAACATACCTGTACGGGAGATACAATAGATGTTATGCCTGTTTTATAGGTGAAGAAACTAAGTCTTAGGAAGATAGTCACTAGCCAATGCAGCAAACAACTATCAAAGGCAGGATTTGAAACCAGTTCTTCTGAGCCCAGATCTAGCACTCAATCTGCTCTGCTAGTTAGAGCAATTTGCCATGGTAGTTAGTATTCGCTCCCCAACCCCCACTATAAACAGTGAGAACTGGTTGTAATGAGAAAAATGTAGAAATACAAGTCAACAGTACAATAACAGGATGCACCTGCAGATTTCATAGAAACAGGTGACAGCAGATTCACATTATCTGTACCGTTAGGAGTATTCCCAGGCTTGATGATACAGGCTGAAGCACAGTTAAAATCCTTTCAGACCTTTCAAAAATGAGAAAGTACTGTCTGACAAACAAAACATGGGGCTGTTAACTGGTGAAAAGAGATAGCTGAGAGTTCTTATTGACCAATAAAGATTAGAAACAGTTGCTCAGCTGTAATAAAAACAAAAACAAGGACTATTCAATTCAGCAACATATTCACTAAAATTAAAACAATACGGAGAAGATTAACACGGTCCCTCAGCAAAGATGAGCTGCAAATTTGTAAATCATTCATATTTTTAACTATATGAATATGCTATGCTACAAAACACTCTTTACACACATAACAAAGACTGACCTAAATAATTTAAGGAATATTCATTGCCTGGATAGGCCAAATCATCATATTCAAATAACAATACTATCTAAATTAATTTACTGCCCAAAGATGATTTTACAAAGATAGAAAAAGTAGCAAAATCTATCTGGAGGAAAAAAAAGGTCAAGAATCTCAAGGGAAATGATGGGGAAAAAAGTGGGAAGGAAAGGGGCCTATCAGTACCAGATCTCAAGCAGTAGCTATTTTTAAAATTTAGTACTGATTTAAAAACAGAGTGGTAGATCAGTGAAATAGATTAGGTACAAAATTTATAGAAGCAAATGAGCAGAATAGCCTAGTTTATAATAAATCCAAAAACTCCAGCTACTAGAGTGAAAACTCTAATTTGCAAAAAAACTGCTGAAAAGCAGTCTATAAGAAACTACATATAGAATACTATGTCATAACTTCCTTTCTATCCTCAAGGGTACCACCATCAGTCCAGTCGTCAGGGCTGGCAATGTAGGTGTTATCTTTATCTCTTCACTCTCTTACCCCCTCCCCCCATATCCAATCAGTTCTCAAGTCTCATCGTTTATGACTTCATACCATCTCTAATATACTCCCCTCTCTCTCCTCTCACATTACAACCACCCGCCCTCATCACTTCGCTCTTGGACTATTGTAGTAGCCTGCTGGTGAGTTTCCCAGCCTCGAGTCTCTCCATTCAACTATCCAACTGATCTAAAAACACAAGTCTGACCACATTGAATAAACTTCAGTGGCTCCCTGTTACTTCCAGTTCATAACCTGATCCCCTTCTAGCTTTCCAGTTTTCTTACATCTTAACTCTATTTCACGCACTCTGTCTGATATCCAGTGACACTGACCAACTTTCTGTTTCTAAAACACAATATTCCATCTCCTGACTCTAAGTCTTTTCACTGCCCACCTCCCATGACTAGAATGTTCTCCCTCTTTGTTTCTGTCTCTTACCTTCCCTGGCTTCCTTCAAGTTTCATTTGCAAGAAAGGCTTGAAGCTTTTCCCACTTTTCCTTAATCTTTGTGTCTTCCCTCCAAGAACATCCAATTGATCCTGAGTTCATCTTGTTTGTTTATAGTTGTTTGCATGTTTTTTCCTCCATGAGACTATGAGCTCCTCGACATCAGGAACTGTTTTTGCCTTTTTTTTTTTGCTTAGTACAATGCCACGCAAATAGTAGGCACTTAATAAATGGTAATTGACCAAGTGGTTGGCCATATACCAAAATAAGTTCCAAATAAGTTCATTTGGTCATATCTGACTCTTTGTGACCCCATTTGGGGTTTCTTGGCAAAGATATTGAATCATAATCATAAACAATCATAAACAAATTAGAAGAAAAATGAAGAGATGATGACCAAACAGAAGACAGAGAAGATCACAAACAATAAAAAGCACAATTTCAGTTGTGTAACACTGAAAAGTATTTGTACAAACAAAACCAGTGCAGCTAAAATTAGAAAGGAAGAAACTTCCAGAGATGAATCTAAGATGGCAGAGTAGAAGAAGGACTTAGCCAACCTCTCCCAACATTCCCCTGCAAACAAATTCTGGAGTGTCAAAGCCAACAAAAGGTCAGAGTGAGACATTCTTCTAGCCAAAGACAACCTAGGGAGAGGATTCTGGGAAGATGGTAGAGTAGGTCAGAAAACTTTCAGCTCTCCAAATTTCCTCCACAGAGGGAACACAGAGCACTGGAAATTTGGGGGGGAGAGAAAAGGTAGAGTAAAGCAATTGTCCTCTTAAGACAATTTGAGGAGGCCCCCAGGAAAGACCTGACTCCCAGGGGCCAAGGTTCAGCCTGAGTGAAGTGCAAGTATCTCCAGGTGACTCTGCAGAATTAACAAACAACAAGCCCTGGGGGCAACTGGGTTGAGAAGCAGCCTCAGCCTTAGAAACTTTCATCTCAGACACTGTGGGAGTCTGATGGCTAAGTAGGAGAAAATTGAAGGACCTTCCACTGTTGAGGGACACCAAGAACAGCTGTGCTAACCAGACCTGTCCTAGGCTGTGGCTGGGGGAAGAAGGAGCTAGAGTGTAGTAGTGAAGGGCTGGGGACTCTGCTGGCTGTGGGCACTTACAGGAGAGCAGAGTCCCTGATTTCAGTTCCAGGGCAGAGAGGACAGTTTGCAGCCACTGGAGGGACCACAGGGAGCAAGATCATTTGTGGGACAGTGTGGCTGGGGGCCCTTGCTGTGGCTTAGGAGTGGAGAACAAAGCCCAAGGCTGGACCCTGGGACAGACCTCAGAAAATAACAGTAAGAAGAACCTGAGGATTGGGGCATCATTCCCCATATCTCAGGAGTGGAACTTGGTTACACTAATAGCTACTTAAAACAAAATAAAACTAAAACATAAGAATGAATAAGCACAGGAGAAAGAACCCAACCACAGATAGCTACTACGGGGATAGAGCAGATCTGGGTTCATATTCAGAAGAAGACAATGGAGCTAAAAAAAAAAGCCCTCCTTTTTCAATGAGAAATGTCAAATGGTCCCAAGCACAGAAAGACTTCTTAGAAGAACTTTAAAAGGACTTTTAAAATCATATAAGAGAGATCAAGGAAAAAATATTTTTAAAAAGAGCAAACCAAGAAATTATGAAAAGTCAACCAACTTGAAATAGAGAGCAAAAACTTAAGGAAGAAAATAATTCCCTGACAACTAAAATAGGGTGAAGGGAAGCTAATTACATTCTCTAAGACACCAACAAATAATAAAACAAAATCAAAAGAATAAAAAAAAGAAGAGAATGTGAAACATCTCATCAGGAAAACAACTGTTCTGGAGAACAGATTGAGGAGAAATAATATAAGAATAGAAGGACTACCTGAAAATAATGATTAAAAAAAAAAGAACTTGATACCATAGTATAAGAAATTATCACGGAAATTTGCCCTGAAGTTCTAGAACAAGAAGGCAAAGCAGAATTAGAAAGAATCCACTGATCACCACCTGAAAGAGATCCCAGGAGGAAAATTTAAAACAATATCGTAGCCAAGTTTCAAAGCTGCCAGGTTAAGGAGAAAATGATGGAAGCAACAAGAAAAAACTATTTAAATAATGTGGCACTATAATAAGGATCACACAAGACCTAGCAGCTACTATGCTGAAGGACCATAGGTCTTGGCATACTGTATTTCAGAGAGCAAAAGAGTTGGGGTTATTGCCAAGGGTAACTTACCTAGCAAAGTTAAGTGTAATCCTGAATGGCAAAAATGGATTAACAAACTAAGAGACTTTCAGGTATTTGTGACAAAAATAGCAGAACTTATTAGAAAACTTAACGTATAACATCCAGAAGAAATATAATATTAAGGACCAATTATAAGAGACTCAATAAGGCCAAATTGCTTACTTCTTATATGTGAAAACGTTATCAGTTCTTTCATGACTGTCACTTATTTAGGTAGTTTGAAAGAAAGACTTGGGCTAAGCTGAGTAAAATGGGGTGATTCTAAAAAAATAAAAGTGTATAGAGAGAGAGATAAAAAGGAGCAGTTATCTCACACAAATGAGGTATAAAAGGAAAATTTGATACTGAAGAAGCTAGTAAGGGAGAGGGCAGGTAGTGGTGAATCCTTATTCTCATTGGGAATGGGTTAAAGAAGGAACAACAGATTGATAGATAGATAGATAGATAGATAGATAGATAGATAGATAGATAGATAGATAGATAGATAGATATAAAAGTCTTCTAAATTCAGAAAGAAATAAGAGGGCAAGGGGAGAGGGAGAAGGGAGAGGATAAGAAGGGCTCTTGGAGGGGTACGTAGGTTAAGGAATAGGAGGGTAAGGTAGCAGGTAGAATTAAAGCAGAGTAATGAGGAGGAATAGGAATAGGGTGAGAAGGTTAGTGAGGAAAAATAGGAAGGAGGACAATATACAACAGGTAATTATAGCTTAGAATGTGAATGGGATGAATTAACTCATAAAATGGAAACTGATAGCAGATTAAAATTTTGAATTAAACTATGTTGCTTTCAGGAAATGCTATAAAATGAGAGATACACACAAAGACAAAATAAAGGTCAGGAGTAGAATTTATTATGTAAAAAAAGCAAAGATAGTAATCATGATCTCAGACAAAGTTAAAGCTAAAACAGATTTAGTCAAAAGAAAAAATAGGGAAACTACACTATGTCAGCAATATTATTCAGTATCATGTTACATGATTTAAAATAACTAAACAGTATAAAATACCTAAGAGCGTACCTGCCAAAACAGACACAGGAACTATAAGAACATAAACATAAAACACTTTTTATACAAATAAAGTCAGTTCTAAATAATTGATTTAATTTAAAATGACAATTTTACCTAAATAATCTATTTATTCAATGTCATCCCAATTAAATTGCTAAAAAAAATTATCTTACTGAGTTAGAAAAAATAATAACAAAGTTTTTTTTGAAGAACAAAGGGTCAGGAACTTCAGAGAAACCAGGGGGAAAAGATGTAAAGGTTCAGCAGTATAGATCTTAAACTAGATTATAAAGTGAGAACATTGTTGAA